GATGCAAGTGCAATGGATGGTTTCTGGGAATAGATAAAGTTCGTTCTGGGAGAAAAATGGGCTAAGCCATGTCTGCGGGGGCTGTTCACCCTGGAGGAAGTGACCTCGTTGAAACCGAGCTCGCTGAATTAAGTGCTTGTTGAATCCGGGTTATTTTTATTGATTTTAAAGAAGAAAAAAAACCCCGGGGAATCTATCTCATCTCGTTGAATCCGAGCTCGTTAAATCCGAATTCCACTGTATATTCTTTCCATAAAACACGCACAAAGCGAAATTCAAATATAATGAAAAGATTTCTCTATATATTATGATGCTGATTTCGCCTTGTGCGTTGTTAACTCTTCTATTCCAATGCAAGTTACAAGCAACAAGTCAAAGATGACAAAACAATTCTGAGTTAGTGTTAGAGATGGGGCTAGGAATGTATTGTTAACGTGTCAAGTATTTTATTTTACAATCTTGAAATTCTGCTCTCTTCTGTGAATGACTATACTCCAATTTTCCACAATTTAGCCTTTTGTCCAGCTTGCACATTTACAGTACAGGTCGAAGGATTAATGGTAATGCTTTTTGGTCAACGTGGTTTTTAATTCAGGAAAAGTATAAATGCTTGTCACTGTCAGACAAGACAATGATATTCGACATACGATTTCCATTACATTGAGCCCCTCAAACTATTCATTAATACAATACATGTATCATACAAAACATCATGCCCAAACTGAGTCCACGAAAACTTCGGGCGTCTCCAGAAGAGATGAATAAATCATTTTTACTCGGTTGCATGCATTTTATCGGACTCACCTTCCTGGCACATATTTAATATAATGATTATAATGTATAACGATTATAAATGTATCTCCCGCAGGGAGATGAGAAGCTGTTTTGTGTAGATTGCGACACAGATTTTACCTTATCTTAACAGAATGTCCAGATTTTGGAGAGGCCCGAAGGAAGTATTTTAAGTGTTCAAAACTAAAACTAAAAGTAAAAGGTCTGTTCTCCGTCTTTGATCCCAACATAATTTTTGATTTTATAAAGGCCATATGACCTTTACAATATATTGTAATACTAATACTGTTATTTTATTATTTAAAATGTTTGTTTTTTTAAACTGAGATTTTTACCATGAATTTTAAACATTTTAAAAAACATTGACCAAATTCAAGCGGTGCTGAGAACTGTTGTGAATGCAACCAACTTGTTTCTTGCGCTCATGTGACTTTATTTTATGCAGTTGTGAGCGCTGTAAAGCTCTTAGGCGACTACTAAACTAGTACTACTAAAAACATGCATCATGTATACACGTGGGTCACTTTGAATTCTATCATTCCGCATCGCCTTTTTTAAAAACCAGTTTTTCTTTTATCCTTTTTCTCTCTCCCGAAAGAAAAAGTGTTTTCTCACTGGGCTTGCTTAGTGTAGCTATTTGAATAGCTTGTCGACTTTGTGTAGGTTACTCACAGCAGATTCCGCACGTCTTGGGGCAGGCGACAGGGGCGAGCACATTGAGACAGACGTTGGGGATGTCCGTACATTTCACACTGGTCAGGTGGTCAGTGCAAGGTGCTGGGGCGACTGACAGAGGTAAAAAAAATAAAAAAAATTTAAGGGT